GGGGGGGGGGGGGGGGGGGGGGATTTGCAGTGTGTATCAAGAAGAGAGAATCCTGCTTTGTCCTGTGCAGCTCAGCTTTGCAAATGAAATACCAAGGTACACGTGAATATATAAGGCAGTAGCAGGGGGATGGAGAGGAGAGGTGGGAAGCCTCTCACAGTTAAGGAAGCCACTGAAAATAAACATACTGTGTTGCACTTCACTGACAAACTGTCTTTTCTATTTCTGTCATCACTTCAGAGCCAGAATGCCTATTTAGGACAGGAATGGGTTCTAGTCAGCCGTTCCTCACTAAAGTTGTCAACTAAGATGTAATTAGAATTCATCATTACTAGTGATGGAGAAAGTTGGAGTTTCAGATCGCAGGATAGCATTGCTATGCATTAGAAAAATAGCCTTTTTGCCTTCTAAGCCAAACACATTAACATAAAAAGTTAATAGGTAATGAGCTTCTACAAAATGTTGTATTTTACAGACATGCTTGCGGAATTCTCATTTTTCTGCCACAGTTTATTTTCTGGTGGTCAGAAACACTCAAAAGTACTAACCTGAATGCCTTCTTTGTTTAGACGCACAGGCAGTTTAGCACTGAACATCGAACTACACAATCCCATCTGGCTGCACCTGGGCCAACTAAAATAATAACTAAAATTGTCCTTACCCTTGGTTGCGATCACTGCTAGTCCTACAGACAAGGCTGAACATTTACCTGAGTTGTCCCTAATGCCTTTCTCGTATCTGACAGCTTAAACAACAGAACACTGCTATCTAATGTATTGCTTCTAACAAGGAGAGCTCCAACAAACCCCAAGGCTGGCCTAGGGGATAGTAACCTCTCCGAACAAAATAAGGGTACCATCAGGCTTTACTCAGTCTTTGGGCTGTTCAGAGTCCAAATAAATCTCTGCCACATTATGTTTTTTTCCCTCATGGAAAGTGCCATACCACCTAATAAATCATTTCCTTAAGAGAACTTAATTTGTTTAGGGTCTACAGAGCTGTCACCTCACCTGAGCCATGACTTTAAATTTTCATGAACCAAAATGCTTTATTTATGATAATAATCTCTTTTTCTACCCCTTTCATGTGACTTACATGTTTTTTTGCCTAGCAGACATGCTTCAGTAGGTTCATCTCACCCAAATATAAGCATTTCATAGCAGTATTACTGTCATGCAGTCACAGTATTCTAGTTATACTTCTACACAAAAGATAAAAAGACTGGTGTTTAAGCTTGGATGCTGATGGAGACAAGTTCTTCCCCCAGTCACAGTGCAGACTGTTTTCCCGTTCAGTTTTTCAGAACCATCTAAATTCAGTACGTTGTGAAGTAAAGCATCCAGTCACTCACTTTTCAACAACTTTGGAAACAAGTTTGTCAACTCTCACACAGATGTATACACAGAGAAAGGCAATACTACCCTGCTTCTTAGCACTTTTATACTCATAATAATCTAACAGACTATAAAAAACAGAAGTAGCACAGCCCTAGTCTGAGTGATTAACAGCAAATGCCTGCTAAGTTATAGTAACATAAACAATAATTAGTAAGCAAAATACTAAATTTGCTATGAAAAAAGTTCTTTTTTACACTGTTATCCATAAATGTGACGTTGTTGACATTCTAATATACAGAACACATAACACAACAGCCCCTACATAGATGTAAAAATACTGGCAAATTCAATTTTTTTCAACTGATCCTTCCTGTCTACTGCCTTTATATGCTGCACTGTATTTTAACACAGTATTTTACTATATAGGCTTTTACAAAGTTTTTAACAACGCAATCATAGTTCAATTGAAAAGGGCATCTCCCACTTCCTTTTCTGAAAAATGTTTATTCTGTGTGCAATGCAATATATAACTTTGCTCTAGTTTCCTGCTTTTATCCAGAGGTGCCATCTATTTTTAAAGAACGCTGCCCATTCTAATGCAATGCTTTACAAAATGTTTATACGTTTCACAGGATTCCTGAAATATGCTTTGTCTCGTAATTCTAGGTTAGGATCTAGGTTATCTAAGTTACTGACGGAGTGAGGATGAATTGAGTGCTGCTGTTATTAGTGGCTTGGCTTGGATCGTAGCACAAACAAGCCACAGGGTGAGGCAGAATACAGTCAACTGTGTCACTTCTCAGCTCGGCGTGGCCAGGACAGGCGCAGCCAGGTAAAATGGTGTGCGCCCAACCTTCCCTGAGGAGCTTGGGAAAGCAACTCCCACCACACTCTCACTTCTCCTCGTGAATGCTGGTATCATGGTGAATGCTACCATCAACCCTGCACCTTGCCGCGCTGTGTCAGCCACCTCTGACCAACCCCACAGGCAGCCGCCCCGCTCACAGCCGCGCTTGGCCCTACAGCTCCCACAGGCCTGCGAGGTCGCGTTGCCACACGCGGCCTTAGCGGAACCTGGGCCTGACGGCCAACCCGCCCGCCCGCTCCCGCCTCCCCCAGCCTGAGGCCCGTCGCTTGCGGAGGCGCGGGGCGTTCGCACGTTCCCTCCCCCCGCTCCCGTCCCGTCCCTTGTCCCCCCCAGCCCC